CCGCCCTCCCCCAGTTTTTTTCGCTACCGGCATCGGTTTTTCCAGCAAATGCTTCTAGCTAAAAGAACTGAAACTGGCCGTCAGGACTGTCAGGAAGCATCCGTTTAAAATTTCAGCTTTCTAACTTTCCTGGTTCCCCAATTAACAACTTACTTGAAAAAAACTTTCACGGGTCTGTATGTGGGTACCACGCATGACCGGTGTCTGGATTTGAGCTCATTAATACCCACTTGGATGGGTAATATCCCCATAAAATTCCAATCCTCTAGCTTTCCCGGCTCCCGAGTTAGCAAATTACCCGAAAACTTTCACGGGCCGGCACGTGAGTATCACGTATAACTGGTGTCTGGGTTTGAGCTCACTAACCCTACGTGAACAGGAAACATTTCCTCAAAATCACAGTCTTCTAGTCCTTCAGGTTTCCAAATTAGAGGCTTACCCGTAAAGAACTTTCACGGGCCCGCACGTGGATCCACGCATACTCGACGGCTGGGTTTGGACTTGTTAAGGTCCACTTGAACGGGGAACGTCTTCTTAAAACTTCAGCCTCCCAGTATTTTTGGTTCCCGAGTTAGCATTTACCCGTAAAGAACTTTGGCGAGCTCGTACGTGGGTACCACGTGGGTAAGAGCATCTATTTTGGGGATAGGGACCTGCACATACATCTAAATTAAGTCCCCAAAACTTCAGCCCCGTAGATTTTGTAGGTCTCCAGATGAAAAATCGGTACGGACGAACACAGAGACAACCCTCGTCAGTATGCGTTTTCTGCATTGCATAACTGCAAAAAACACATAATAAAAGTTATTAGCATCAGTTTTATAATTAGGAAAGCCCACTGCTGCAGGTGAACTTTTGTAAAACAGTTCCCACTCGCATAATCTCAATTTTTATTTGCTTTTGCTTTTTTTAGCTTTTACTCATCGGTTTTTATTTCCTGACTTTAATTTTTCTATTTTTTCTTTTTTTTTCTTTTTTTTTGTAAGCTTAAGTTTTCTTCAAATTCCTTTCCTTTATAGTGCTGTGTTTTCTCTTTCTCTTTGCAGCCGTTTCCAGTTCTTGCCTCGAACCACTGACTAGTATTCTTGCTTACTCCCCTATGCTTCCCCAAATCTTGCCTCCAGGGCGGCATCTGGGCATCCATCACTTGCCACCCCCACCACTGCC